GGTCCTTCTCGTGGTGGCGCTCCTTCCGATCATGGAGTGACAGTGTAGCAAACTTACTCACACCTGTAGCGATGGCGCTGTCCATAATACCACTACTGATTCCACCGCCACTGCTGGCTTTGTTGGTATTGTTTGCCGTCGTTGTTGTGGTGCCAGCAGAATGGGGAAGGCTGTTGGAACGTGGTAAAGTAGTAGCGATGGAGTTAATGCCAGGAGTATTGGCACCACTGTTGTTTCCATTAGTAGTGTTACTAGAGGTGTTAGTGATTATTGTAGCACCTGCAGGAGGGCTGGTAGCATTCATCACATTAGTATGTGTCCGTGTCCGTGAGAGGGGAAGATGCGGGAAAAGGATGTCCTCAGTGAGGTCCCATAGGCACAGCTGAGTGTCCTGCCCCACTGAGCCAAACCGGTATGTAACACTAACAGGCCGGCTGTCTGTGGAGTTACGCTTAGAAAGTCGAGACTGTGTACTGTTGGCCCGGTCTCGTCCAAAGTGGATCATCTGATCCTGGAAGTCCTCATCGCTGCCACTGAACTCCATCGGGTCGCTCTCCTCCACACTTGTGGTGTAATGGTCAAAAGCCACCACACTCACCCACGACTTGTGGCCGTGACCTCGAGCAATGACCCTGCAGTCCAAGAACGACCACACAGTCACTAGATCGTCCTCTCCACCCGCAACTATATATTTTCCATCAGGGCTCCAGCACACGCACAACAAACCACCAAAATAGCTCTTCATGGTGCCGTGAAGCTCAACAGCATCAAAGTTGAACACCCGTAGGAAGCCGTCTTGGCTTACACAGGCGAGGAACTTCCCATCTGGAGAGAAGGCAAACTCATTCAGAGCTCCCTCTCCTACAGTCCATTTAAGGAGAGGGTTCCTCGTGGATTTACTCTTGCAAGTGTGCACAGAGTAATTCTCTCCCTGTTTGAGTAGCTGGTAGTGTGGCGCTGTGGTGCCGCAGGTATGCTCCACATTGTACAGGTACATATTCCCACTGGCATGAGACACTAGAAACAGACTCTCTGAGCCTGGCACCCATTTCACACATGTTACTCTGGACTTGTCTATTAATCTCTGTCAGGAGAAAAAATAGGTTGAGGTTTGAGAGGCAGGAGAGAGCAGAAGAGAAGGGGAAGACAAAAAATAATAATTTTAATACAGTAAAATTGACGTTGGTATGCTCAACAAGCTTTAAGTTTTTAATACAACAAGCTCTGGGCCATTTGGTAATGTTATTAGTAATTTTTACTTGACTTTTTTTTTCATTAAGGTGCATTAAATACATAAGAATATCAATGCATTCATCACACAAAAAATCTTATCAGTTGTAAATTAATTGTGGAGTAGAAGATAATCAATTCTGTGGGATTGGATGACATGCAAGCACCATATTGTCACTTCCTGGTTCCTAAAAAAAAATATGTACGGTGACGGTAAGGTGCAACCTTAAACAGTACTACAAAAATAGTACATAGATGTTATTCCAACCTGTGTCCTTTAGACTTACCTCCTCATTGAAGAGCTTGCTTGTCTCCTTCTTGATAGGGTCAATGAGCTGTACCTGTCCTGCTGAGAAACCCACCAGCAAGGACACGCTCTCTGCTGTAGCTGTGAGGTGGTTGAAGTCATGACACGTGGGCTGCGTTCCCTTGTAAATGCGCTTGTCTATGGGCTTGCTCAAGTCAGCGGCCTGAAAACAGAGACCGAGATTGCAAGGGGGGAATGAATGCATACAGATTGCAGCAACCTTCAAATATCTAAAATGCCCAACTACTCTACTGCATGGCAAAGTCTATACTTAGTCACACTACCAGTAATAAACCATAGCAGCTGAGAGTGCCGTGTTTTATATCAAACTATCAAACCTTTAAGACTGAGGCAGTGCGTTTTAAATCAAGCATCTTGAACCGCGTATAAGACAAGTGCCTGGAAGCAAAATACTAAACATTGAAAAACACACAGAAGAGCATGAAGAGCAAGGGCATGCCTTTTCTCTATAGAGAAACTGATCAAAAAGCAGTTGTTTTAGCCATTTTAAGGAAACAGTATTATACTACTGTAAAGAAGCTGCAGTAAATACATTGCAGACAGTTAATATAACACAACAGTTAAATTTGTTAATGATTAACAGTTTGAACAACTGGTAGAACGGAAAATTCTTTTCAGGGTAAGGTGATGACTCAGGGGTTCCTCCATTTCCATGACATGCGACTGTTTTTGTCTTGCCTCAAAGAGCAAACGTGTCAATGGAGGTCTTGATCAAGAGTCCACTAAAAAGTACAAAATCACAAGACTTCTGCCTCACAATGGCAGAAACAAAGGCTGAAAGAAAACTTCATGTTACAATACAACTAAACATACCTGCTGTATTGCACATTGGCTTGAGGGCTGACATGCAGATGTTTTCCAAAAACCAGTATGTGCCAACAGTGATGGCTACTGTACATTTCTAGTTTGTGTTTTTTGTTTTCAAAAAGTATGTCTGCTACAATATATCAGAATACATTTCTTACTTACCAAGCCTTCCAAAATATATGACTTGAAGTAATTGCCAACTGTGTAGTAACCTGGCATTTAACATTTTCTAACTATGTTAACTTGCACATATTAAAAACCCTGAGGTCACACGAGTTTTTTCCTTTTCCCAATTGCTTCAAACAGCTCAAATATATGGCAGACCTTCAACCAGGATACAACTATTTCCCTCTGAAAAAAAAAATGGCTACACATGACATGTTTGTGTGTAAATATGGAAAATGCTTTTATACGCAGGTTCAATTGAACAAAGAGCTCATTCAATCTGTGATGTCAAATCAGGTATCCGTTAATAACCACATTAAGGTGCGACAACATATTTTTTATCAACAGTAACGTGGACAGTTAATTTTGATACTCAATGACAGCGAAGACCTGTATTCATATTAATTGCTATGTGATTTCCACATTATGCTCAACTATGGGGTAGCAGATCACAATAACACTATGTGCCCATTGATTGTTATTAAATACCAAAAATATACCAAATCAGCTCAGTTTGATTAGCTCAGCCTCTCAAGAAGAATTCTTAAGCCAAAATCAGAGTGCCATTACGGCAGCAGTTAGCCACATGAATCCGCATCACCGTGATTGTCGATATCTGTCAGTCAAAAGGTCTTCTACAGGTGTCAAGGGTGGCAACGTAAATCTGTCAATGCTGACACGGACAGTTTTATTACAAACCAAGCCCGTTATAAACACCATTTAAGCTCTGTCAACTTGAACCGTTACAGTAGGTCAACTTCACCAACATGATATTTGCAAAACTACAAAAACCCGCCATCAAGTGTAAAGAGAGTGACGGATAGGAGACGGGAGTTTTAGCCCCTGGCCTCGGGGTAGCTACTGGCTTGCTAACGTTAGCCAGTTACGCTGGCTAGCTAACTAATAGGCTAGCTTTGAGCTAAGTAGCTAGCTGCCAGCTAATTTCAAAGTCAAGCACCTGTCAGAGTGACTTGACACGCCTAAACTCCTGCAACACCTCACACAGCAGTGTGGCATTTTAACTTGCAGCATAGCGAATTTCCTCAGGCATAAGCCACATTAGCATGCTACCTTTCTAACGCCTTTGTAGATGTAGAAGTAGAGCTCACGGCCCACATTGAAACAGATCCTGTCGCCGTTGCCTGACTGGTCGTTGACGTTCACGAAAGAGACCTTGACGGGGTTGGAGCCTTGTGAATTGAAAGGCACCCTATTAGGACGGCTGTATTCGGAGTGAGTGAGAAGTTTGTAGACGCCTTCCCGAGTGGTGAACTGAGTTTTAATTTCGTTCATCTCCTTCCCTCCTCCCTCCGCCGCCATCTTTGAAATTAACATTCATCCCTTTCCCCCAGGCCGGATCTTACGCACGGATGTGAGCGGCCGTTCCGACTCTCCCGTTCCCCCCAACGGCTCACGGTGGAACTGGTGGAAGGGATGCGACTGGTTTCAACAAGTTGTGACAGCTTTATCTAAGACCTTGCATTATCAACTTAACACAGAAGTTTGATTCAGCCACAGATTTTAATTTTGATTTTAATTATCGCCCGTGAGTGAACATTTACATATCTCGAAATTTCAAATACTCAGGAATAAGTTTATTTATCAAATCAAAATCAAATCAAATCACTTTTATTGTCACATCACATGTGCAGGTACATTGGTACAGTACATGTGAGTGAAATTCTTGTGTGCGAGCTTCACAAGCAACAGAGTTGTGCAAAATACAATAATGTAAACAAGCAAAATACAAGAATGGCTACATCTGAAACTAATAAATATATGTACAATATATAATAGTATATGCATTTCTGGATGTGTATACTAAATATTTTTCTACGTGTGTGTGTGTGTACACATATTTTACAAATTAAATAGAGTAAACAATAAATAAATATATAAAAATATACAGAGTTGAGACATGTTCAAAACAGTGGCATTACTGTACAGTAATACATAATGTTGAAGTTCCAGTAGTTAAGGTGAGGTGTCTATGACGTGTTCAGCAGTCTGATGGCCTGATGGAAAAAGCTGTCTCTCAGTCTGCTGGTACGGGACCGGATGCTGCAGAACCTCCTTCCTGATGGAAGGAGGTTTATTTATGTTATTTATTTATTTTTGTTGTTTTTAGTTTTTTTCAGAGACGGAAACAAGCTCCCATAAACTAGGCTTGATTGTATTAAAAAAAAAAATACATTTTGAAAAATAAAAAAATACAAGTTTTAGATATTTGCACTGTTTATATATAAATATATAGTAAGTTACTACTCGATCAACCACACGTTTAAGCTTATGATCAAGTTGCTGTTTTTGTTTTCTTAAAGTACAGTTTACAATATATATTTCATACAAAAAAAATATATGTTTACATTTTAGTTAGAATAAGCTTTAAAACTTAAAAAAACGCAGGACCGGTACACGTTTTATTTTGAAAAAGCAACAACCGGACGTATTATTTTGTCACAATCTTGAAATTAGCCAAGTCTGTGGTGTTTAAAACTTGTGACAGTGCAGTTGTGTAGACTGCTCACCTGACTGTGGCCACACTTGGCTGTTTCTTATTCAAGGCACCTGCTCTTTAATTAAGCTGCCAGCATTCCTGACCATCTTATCTCGACTTATTTGCGTTATTTCCAAAGAAAATTTGTTTCACGCGCCAAATGTCATGGCACACAGAAGAAGAAGAACACAACGTCCACTTCCAGGTATCAGTGATTACTATTTAATTGTTTTTTCTCCTTAGACGTGGTATTTTCCTAGTTAATTCATTTTCATTTGTGGTGTCAACGTAACATGTGCACAATCTTTTCCAAATAAATAAAATAAATAAATCACCTGTATATGTTATTGGCTGTCTTTTGATTTAATCATTATTGCAATGTAACCTACATATAGTTTTCTACATTAAGACAGCACTGATAGACAAGCACCCAGCAGTATGGACCAGCTTACTTTAAATTACATGGTAAGAATACTTACCCAATGCCCATCTGCAGGTGCTCTGCATTCTTCTTAGACCACTTGCATACTGTTGGACTAGTATGACCTTTGTTTTTTGTTAGGAGATGTGCAACATGGAGTCCAGCACAGATTCTGACTCTGAAATCAGTCCAAGATGGTCCGACACCAGTACCATGGTACTGCTTGAATTCATCAATTGGGCAATACATGCACACTGACATAATAAGCAAATTTGGAAGTATATAGTATAGTTTAAGCATTTTTCAAATAGTAGGGGAAAAACAGTTTTAGTGATCATTTAACATATAAAGCCAGACATGCACCGATCTTTGTAAAAATAACTGCCAACTTATTGATGTTGAACCTCTGGTGGTTGTGTTTAGGGATGTGTGAGCAGTGCACCAGAGAGTGGTGCCTCAAGGAGGGCGTTGCCATTAACGCTTAAGCCTGCAGAAAGGCATGGCTGTTATTCTTTGGTATGCACTCTCCTCTCATTCATCCATTTGTGTTGAAAATGCACATTGCTGATCATGAATTAAAATGTGTGCGCTTGTTATGATTGTAGGATTTGGACCCGTACGATGGGAGCTCTGAGGATTCTGACGAGTCAAATGTCAATGTCTCCAGCAGGCAATCGAGGCAGCAGGCAAAAGGTGGTGAAAAAGGAGGATGTCGACTCTCGGGCCGAAGCAGGCGATGTATCTGTAATCACTCTGCTTCTGTTGCCCTCAGAGAAGGGACAAAAAATGACAAGAGAGACTGTCTGAGAGAACAGCCGAATCTTCTGGATGTCCAGATGAAATGTGGAAGTGACTCTGACCGGTTGGTCTGCGAACTGGACACTCTTCCCTCTAACAGTGACAGGGATGCTTGTAAGAATCTTCCAGAAGAAAGGGTAACTGATTCAGTAACACACAGACAAATCTCTGATATGGAATTGCAGCTTGATGATTCAGGCTTGCGTATTACAAGATCCTCCACACTTCACCCACCTAAACCTCAAAGCTCAGTGGAGGGGAGTTCATCTCACATGCTGGGTTGCTTCTCTGAGAGATCTCCCTGCTTGTGTAACCTTGGATCTCTGTACAAGAGAAAGCTGAGTCTCCCTGGAACAGACATGATTGAGTTGGGACACAGGAAGAAGCAGTGTGTCTTCAACATGGACGATGAACAAGAAGGAAACAATTCTGCATCTGAACCATGTTAGAGTTCTTTAACAGTTGAGATTTAAGGTGGACTGAAATACTGTAAATAGTTATTTGGAATTGCACTCTGTTTATTCATGAATAGTTAACTTTGAGCACCTCCTGATCGTTAAGGTGGCATTTGGTTATCACTTGCTTAAAATTTAGTCACAGGTGACTCATCAAAACCTAATTTTTGTTCAAATGAGCTGCTTAAATCCAAATGAATGAATAAAGTAAAATATTTAAGTCTCCAGTGGTTCATGGAGGTTCAATGAGTGTCTGCAGTTAGGTCAGTAAGCATTTGAACAATGTAATGTTACCTCAAACAGTTAATATGTGATTTTAAGTGCAAACCTTTAGCTTTACTTAAAGGGTTTTAGCAAAACATGGCCTTTTGGTGTTGTGCTGGTCTGTGCATTCCTTCCTTTTAACCAGATGGTTATGTTGATTTGACTCCTTGGGTTTGAGTAACAGGGAAACTAGGCTCACCTGGCCTTGTCAGTCTATTGTCTTCTACTTTTGACCCTCTAAAAGAGAGTGAGTGTATAAAAATGGTTTTGCCAAACAGTTATTGCTGTAACAGATATTTTATGCATATTGTCATGAAACTTTGGTAATATACTTACCCCTCCAACCAGCAGGTGGCAGTAATGGATAATTATATAGTTGTGCCTGGCAGCTCAGTGAAGGTTTCATTACATTTCATTAAAAAAAAGTAACTAAAAGGAGGACTGTGACAGAGGGCAAAAAACAAGTTTACATTTGAGATTTCTTGCTGAACTTTGCTTTTGTCTCATGTTCAGTCCAGATGTCTTTATATAATTTGGAAAAAAAAAAATCATTCAGGAAAAAACTGTCTAAAGTTACAATGCTGATATTGCATTTGGGACAATCCATAGCAGCTTCACAAGAAAGAACATTATGTCACTGATGTTTCCTTTGGCATGTGTGTGTGATTCACTTAAACATTTCCTTTAGAATACTTCCCAGTCTGAACAGGCTCCTAAGAAGAAAAGAGCTCCATAGCAACAACCATGCACGACATTAATTAAAACACAAAGACCAAGCAGTTCATTCCAATGAGCTTTATTCCATCTAAATACAACAATGTGCTGGTTCTTCCATTAAAACATCTTTTTTCCAACTTTCCTTTCCAAATTTCATTTTCTTTTCATTAACCATCAGACAACGTCTCAACCTTCCAAAACACTTTCTAAACACTAAGAACTGTTACATGTTCACTGCAGTTCCACAAACATCTCTACTACAACTACTATTATGGGGTAATGAATGTAAGTGATTAAATGTGGTTTGATTATAATCAAGACTTAAAGTGAGGAAACGTCTCGTTTCAATTACTCTGTGCACAGGATGGCAACTCCACGCTCGTAGAAGCTGTGAGGATCTTCCTTGGTGGCGATGTCGAAGTCGACGGTGAAGATTAGGTCAGACCGGGTGAAGTTCAGGTACACGGGTAGAGTGACCTGCAGCGAAAGGAAAACACAAAAGGTGAGAAGGACAACTCCATAGCTATATTTCAAAATCTAGCTTTTTAGATCCCAATGGGGCTGGGGTTTTTTTTTTTTTTGGGGGGGGGGGGGGGGGGGGGGGGGTTACCATGTGTCTCTTCTCAGCATTACTCTGCTTGATCCAGCGGAGCTGAGTGAGAGGCAGCTCAGTGGAGATGGAGGTGGACAGAGACAGCTTGTTGTTGGCACAAGTAGCTCCCTGAAGCTTCAGACCTGAGGGTGCAGCAAGCAAGATTGGAATGAGAAAAAGAAATTCATGTCTTAACAACTCACTACATTAGACCACAAATACAGTTAGTAGCATGTTTTAGAGTCCTGCGAACACCTTTTTAGGTTAGATTTCAGTCCAGATTAAACAAACAAACAAAAAAAACATTAAATTCATATGGATATGATTTAATTACAACGCTGTCTGTTCAGTCTAAAGGCCGCATTGTTATCTGATTTGTGCAGTGCTTTTGCCGCCAACTAGATCAGATGATATGTGTTAAGTCTAACCTTTGATGCCGAAGCTGCAGGCATCCAGTGAGGCACCCTGAGCAGTGGTGACGTTAACCTCGAGACACAGCTCTTCTAGGGACCAGCTGTTTGCCTGTGCCACATACTGGCGGGTGGCGGTAATGTAAGCCTCTGGCACAAACAGGCTGCCCAAGCACACATGGATGTTCTGGAAATGATGAGAGGAAGAGACAAGGGAGTAGAAATAAAAAGAAAATGTAAACACATTTTGTTTTCATTTTTAACCAAACTATTTAAGAACCAAAGCTTGTTTGAATGTGTGCACAAACAGTACCTTCAGTTCCTTTGCACCCCCGCTGGCAGCTGCCTGGGAGATCTGCTGCAGCTGTTTGATACGTTCACTGAAGTCTGACACCCACTGGATTACAGTCATGGAGACGGGGACTGTGTACCGACACCAGCTGCGAGGGAGGATTCCTGAACAGACAGGTGTATACCACAGGTATATAAAGTATTCAAACAAATAAACAAACTCATTAAAGTACATCAAATAGTCTGAGTGAAGAACCTTTGACAAGGTCACTGATGAGTGTTCGCAGGTAGTTGGTCTGCTTCTTCTTGCCCTCGCACACTTGTACCACGTCAGACAGATCCTGACGGACCTCCTGAAGCATCTTACCTCCCATTTTCACTTCACGCTCAAAGAACCTGAACAGGGGGTCCTGGTATTTGGACAAAGATAATATTAATGCCAAAACAAAACCATAAATTAGAAGCCAGACAGATGTGCTTTGGTGAAACTGAAAAAGAAAAATTGTTCATTTACTGAAAATCAAACTTTTTAAAGTCCGTTATACCCGATTACCTCACATTTCAGGCACAAAGATTGAAAATCACCCGACGGTGAAACAATTCATTGGTTATAAATGAAAGAAGGATATTGTCAGCACAAGCCTGCTTGCCAGTCCTCTATTCTCTGTCATTACCTTGATGTTCTCCACTGTGCGTTTGAGAGGATTAACCGTTTGCGGCATGAGCTGCAGCCAGTTGCAGGCGGTGGTGTGGAGGGTCCTCATCCAGGCTGGCTGGGTGTCAGATGTGGATGAAGTGCGCTCCTTCTTCTCAGTCTCGTAGGCAAGGTCATCCTCATCCTCCAACATCTGCATTTTCAGCATCTTACCCATCATGTCAGTGCCTGCGCAGCCCGGCAGAGGGAGTGATTGGGCAAGGAGGGAGGTGGAAGACAAGGCCATGGTGGGATGTAGGAAGGGAAGAAGAAATTAATCACAGAAAAGAAACAAACACCTTACCTCAAGGATGGGTTAAAGGGTTTGTTTTATCAAACATAAAAAAAATAAAAATAGGACTACACTGGGTCAGACAAAATACACAAGGCTTCAGGCAATAATTCCAACACATGTAACCTTAAACGAAATTGCCAAGTGGATAACGATCCACATTTCTGAATTACTGGATCTGTAAAAGAAATCAGCACAACCCCAAAAAAATAAATAATAAAAGGAGCGGGTTTTAAGGGAGAAAGTTTGTGGTGGAGTGGGGATGAAGGAAGGGGAGACTGGACCATGTGCTCAAGGGATGGATGCTTTGGCAGCCATGACTGTGGAGGTCAGAGAGGGGGAGTGAAAGGATGGGAAGCAGGCATGGTAGGATGTTTGAAGTCCTAATCTGCAGGTGGGACAAGATAACATCTAAGCAAAGCAACATGATGGCTGTGAAATACAGCTGCTGAAGGGTGAGGAGACCCACACCCATCCTTTGGGAAGAAAACCTTTAAAGTAAAATGGCTATGACTACAGCTACGCTGCACATTATAGCTATGCTACAGAAGGTTGCTTCTGAAAACTAACTGGTAAAGAGGGAAGAGAACTGATGGAAGGATGAGAGATGAGGAAAAGGAATGTTCTTAACATGTTTTTTGACACCCGGCACAGTGTTCTGTCCAAAGTAGACGCAAAAAACAACTAAATCTAAGATTTCGACCTCTCACTGCACGGCGACAGCCTGCCAAAGTACGAGTTATGACACTAGAATAGAGAGAGAGTTGGTTAATGAGCTACCCAGTGAGAATATTCAATCTCAACTTGTTAAGTATAAATGGAACACAGATGAAAAACAAGCTGTCGTTCAGTAACAGCAACAGCAGCATACCCTGAGTGGTAAGCAGGACCTTCTCTGCATTGCTCGGTAATCCGAGCCAAGATGGCGTCTGAGTGTCAGGAAGCATCTCCACCCAGTGCATGAACTCCTCACGTCTGTAACAAATAAAAATGATCAGACGCTTGACAGAGAATGTTTATCAGAGAACAACAAAAGCTAAAACTTATCAGATACTAACCGAATGCCATCAGGCATCTTGATGTCCTTGTGTCCGTCAACTTTGAGAGCCAGTTTGAACTCGCTGTCAAAGCTTCCCTTGGTGAAGATGCGGTCCAGGAAGGTGTTGAGCAGCCGCTGGTCAAACTCGTTGTCGATCCGACCTCCATAGATTGACTGGGCCATCAAGGTTTTCAGAGCTGCCCAGGGGATCTTGTCTGGAGCGATGTTCTGACGACCCTATGTGTGCATGAGTGTAACGATTGGAGTGGAGCAAGGTCATATTATTTAAAACTGACCATTATCTAATAGATTTAGGCAACAGCTACAAGGAGGAAAGGATTAGTCATACAAAAACTAGAAAACATTTAAAGTGTTAATTCTCCAACCTTAGCAGTGTCATCCAGCCAGGTGTCAACCGTGTCACAAGCAGAACGGAGGTCAGACTCTCCAAACTCGTATTTCTTGGACCAGCCCAGTGGTGCGTAACGCAGGCGCTCCTGGATGACCGCATGGAACCAAGCAAGCAAGAAGTAGAGACGCGCACGTTCGTTGGGGGCCTGCGTGGATATGGGACAACATGATTTACATGGAGAATGTTTGGACAGCACTGATCGTTTATTCTTCACATTTGTGTGTGTCCATTATGTTACCTTGCACATGCGAGCCACTGGGATGCTGCTGAAAGTTCTCAGCATGTTAGCCTTGACGCCGGGAGGAGGCTCAAACACAAAGATACGGCCAGCACGAAGCAGATTCACTGGCACCTGGTGGTAAAACACAGCGGCATGAAAAACAGGAAGTAGTGAAAACTGACAATGAATTAATCCAAGTCTAAATGACAAATCTAATGAATGATGTGATATACCTTGGGGTTGATCTCCATTGTGAGGAACAGCCTGAAGCTGGCATGAGGCTGCATAGAGTGAAGTTTTTTCTCCAGCTGCATCAGCCACCCAGGGGCCAGATGGACGTTCTCCAGCATCACCCACCTGCAGGACAAGGAACAGTCAGGATATCAGTACAAGAACACAAACTGTACAGTCTCACAAACACAAAGAAACCACATTAGTCACCTGCCAGACTTGACAGCAGTATTGATGTCTCTGTCAGCCTTATTGAAACCTTCAGCAGAACCTGTGGAAAACATCAGTAAGCAGTTATTTACAATATCCTCAAAATTTCTCATTAAGCACTTGATCTACATTACTGGTAAACCAAAAGTTACGTTTATTTCCTTCTTACCGATAGAAATTGAGGTGATTTGTTTGTT